AAGTCCCTCAGTCAAGCACCTGATCCCCTGTTTTTCGTTTCAGCTGGTCTGAAGCGCGTTTGGGTATACCTTTTTTCCAGTAGGACAGAACTGTCGAGGCGTTCTTGGAGGTTTGCTCTCCCACACAAAGACAGCAGAGCCATGGGAGGTGAAGAAAATCATTAAGCAGCAGAGACTCACCAGCATAAGATAATGGTTCTGGGTGTTATATTACCTCTAAATCAAAACCAGTCATGGGAATACTGAGCTGCTGTCATGGACAATAGCCATGTAAACAAAACACAAGTTCATATCTCACAATAGGCCTGCACTGTGGATTATTGCTCAGACAGCTACAGCAAGGACAAATTTGATATATTTTCAGTTAGGGCCTACAGAGTTAATTTACTGTCTGTTGATAGGCCTATGTGTTATTTAGGGCATTCAATTAGAGTAATGAGTGGGCAATGGTCGGTCGCTTTCCAGGGTGTTTAAATCAAGGCTCCCTATGCAGCTAAAACGGTTGGTGTGTTGTTCATGCAGTGCTGCAGTAGTTTGCGGTGTGCAATATTGATCATGGGACTAGGCCTATTGATCAGCTCTGCACAGTGGCGGACTTACCATTAGGCAGAAGAGGCAATTGCCTCAGGCCTCACATCATCAAGGGGTCTCGTGAGCTGGGCATAATTTAAAAACAAATAATACTAGGAATCATTTATTTTTTATAATTTCTCCGCTTGATTTATGGTTCCAACCACTGTGTCTTTGTGAGATGCGGTGTGGGTGAACGGATGATCTCCGCATGTGTATTTCCCACCGTAAAGCATGAAGGAGGAGGTGTTATGGTGTGGGGGTGCTTTGCTGGCGACACTGTCTGTGATTTAACCAGCATGGCTACCATAGCATTCTGCAGCGATACGCCATCCCATCTGGTTTGGGCTTAGTGGGACTATCATTTGTTTTTCAACAGGACAATGACCAAACACACCTCCAGGCTGTGTAAGGGCTATTTTACCAAGAAGGAGAGTGATGGAGTGCTGCACCAGATAACCTGGCCTCCAAACCAAATTGAGATGGTTTGGGATGAGTCGGACCGCAGAGTGAAGGAAAAGCAGCTAACAAGTGCTCAGCATATGTGGGAACTCCTTCAAGACTGTTGGAAAAGCATTCCAGGTGAAGCTGGTTGAGGCAATGGGTGGCTATTTGAAGAATCTCAAATATAAAATATATTTTGATTTGTTTAACACTTTTTGGTTACTACATGATTCTATATGTGTTATTTCATAGTTTTGATGTCTTGACTATTATTCTACAATGTAGAAAATAGTACAAATAAAGAAAAACCCTTGAATGAGTAGGTATTCTAAAACTTCTGACCGGTAGTGTACGTGCTCTCCTTCTCTCACCTTTTCCCTTTGCTTGCAGACTTCAGTGCACAACATAACAGCTGTCTGTGACCAGGCCAAAAAACATTTTCAAGCCAAACCTTCATACCATAACTGCTAACCACTACACACAGCCTACATCGTTGTCAATGTCACCATATTAGCTAACGTCATAGTCAACATAGCTACTAGAACTAACGCGTTAGTAAACCTGCTACAGTCACGCAGTACAGTGTACAGCAAGAAGTTTAGCAGTTACACCGGCGGGCCCCAGTGGCAATAAATTAATAAAACCGAAAGCTTACCTTGACTTGGAAGAGTTGTAGTGTTGGATAGCCAGCTAATTTAAATAGCATTTCTCTCTGTTTGAGCCGGGTGTTTGAGTAGGCTAAATTAGCTAGCTGCATTAGCTAGCTATGTAAGTGAAAGTGAAAGTAAAAAATTAAGATAAAAAATCTCTCTCTCTCTCTGCTGCTTCTCCTTAATTTTTGAATAAATGAATTTGTTCAAAACTGTTCAACTGTGGTCCTCTGTAGCTCAACTGGTAGAGCACGGCGCTTGTAACGCCAAGGTAGTGGGTTCGATCCCCGGGACCACCCATACACAAAAATGTATGCACGCATGACTGTAAGTCGCTTTGGATAAAAGCGTCTGCTAAATGGCATATTATTATTATTCAACTATTGTCTTTCTCTCTCTTTGAGTCAACTACTCACCACATTTTATGCTCTGCAGTGATAGGTAGCTGTAGCTTATGCTTTCAGTACTAGATTCATTCTCTGATCCTTTGATTGGGTGGAGAACATGTCAGTTCATGCTGCAAGACCTCTGATAGGTTGGAGGACATCCTCCGTAAGTCATCATAATTACTGTGTAAGTCTATGGATGGGGGTCAATAGGTTTTGTATTGAAGTCAATGTACCCAGAGGAGGATAGAAAATAGCTGTCCTCCGGCTACACCATGGTGCAACCCCAGAGAGTGCTGTTGGGGCTACAGTAGACCTTCATTGCAAAACAGTGTGTTTTAATCAGTTATTTGGTGACATTAATATATTTAGTATAGTTTTATCTAAAAAGGAAACATTTTTTTAAATGTTTCACTATTTTTATTTTTATTAAATTCGCTGAGTAGGATGGTCCTCCCCTCCTCCTCTGAGGAGCCTCTGCTGACATTAACCCTAACTTTAACCCCTAGCCTAGCTAACATTAGCCACCTAGCTATGCTAACGTTAGCCACAACAAATTGGAATTCGTAAGTTATCATACATTTAGCAAATTCGTAACATATTGTACGAATTGCAATTTGTAACATATTGTACTGTAATTCATAACATGTCATACAAAATGGATGATGGACATCCACAACTTAATACATGCCATACGAAACTTAACATATCATACTATTTCGGGTGTCCCAGATTTACGTTTACTGTGTTATGTCTACCCCTGAGTCCAGGTTGTAAAACATGGGCTCTGCCTGGGGCATCCAAATGACTAAATCCGCCCCTGGCTCTGCAGGCCCTACTGCACGGCGCAGTGTACGTTGTGGCCTGTAGCAAGAGACAAAAAGGCCACAACAACAAATACAGCAAGACTGACATGTTGCGCTTCGATGCTCCATCGTCAGTCTATAATCTTGTTTATAATGAGGCCACACATTGAGCATTCCCCCGACAGGTGGGGGAATTTAAATATCCATTGTATTGAAACAACATTGAATCACACACGACCGCGGTTTGGTCACTGTCTACCAAACCTTTTAATTCAAGGCGAGATATTGTACAATCTTTGCCAGGCAACTTTAGAGATCAGCAGTGGTGGACTAGCCTACTTACAACTGCGAATCTGGAGGTGGCTCGGTGTGGTGATGGTAAAGCGCACATAAATAACGGGAGACCCCTCTTCCACCGGCCACTTACCTCACGATGGGTCCGAGCTGCAGGATGTGAAGCAGCAGAACCAGCGGTCGGTCCCTGCTAAGGTCCCGGTGAATGAAGGTGAGCGTCAGCTGCACGAGCACCGACGTTACCAGGGTGAAGAGGAGGGTGAGCCCCTGCCAGATCTGGTCGCCGTCGGAGCGGTATGTGGAGCTGAGGTAGAGGGCTGCCGTGGTCTCGGCTGTGAACAGAGACACCGACACAAATATGGAGCTGGGGAGTCGCATTCTCACTCACTCAGCCATCGGGGAAGGCGGGCCGCTCCTCCCTACCATCGTGCACTAACCGAGAGCCGACTCCGAGAGGGAGATGCTCTCCTGGCGGGCGCTTGCTGTGGCTCGGGCTCATCTATTTGACAGGCTGTTTTCTCGTCTAGTGGTGTTGTCCCGGAAAGGGCCGGTAGGTGGCGCAGTGAGCTCGCAGTGCGCTCATGTGTGGCGAGAACGAACGATAAAAACACATTCAGAGGCCCACTCATCGCTTTACCCGGTTCAACAACAACAAAAAGAACAGTAATGATGCTAAATTTAGAAGGCTTTAATGATCTTGCAAATCAATAAATTACACATTTAAGGAAAAAAGGGCCACAATATTGCAGGAGGCTTTACATTAAAATATCAATAGGCCCACATTATACAGTATACATTCAAGAGGTTATCTGAAAAAAACAGGAGGCCTATAGGCTATCTACATATTGACAATGCTCTCAACAGATTTCCCCCCAAAAAATTGCATCACAGATACAGTCTAATCTAGTGTTCTCAAGTAAAGTAAGGCCAGTTCAGAGAGTAACATCACAGATACCGTCCATAAGAAATTGGGAATTATTCAGTTGGAGAGTAGCTCACCAAATATCAGGGGACAAATTAATGTACGGCTGTTGCCATACAATGAAGAACATGGCTCATGTGAAAACCTTCGTTTAATGTGTCTTAAGAAAGTTTCAATAAAGTTGCAGGAGTTCCCAGGGCGGTAAACAATGGTTTGAGTTGATGGAGATTACTATTGACCATATTTGGACCTATTTTAACGTCATTTTAACAGCACCCTCAAGTGAACCATGTGTTGATCTGTGTAGGCCTAATACTTATCAGTATGCCGTATTATACAGGCTCGCCATTACTCTTATTTGTATATGCATTAGCACATTCAACAGAGATACTGGATATAATTTCAAGATGCTTGTGTCTCCGCCCTAACAATGGGATTCGTTGTCCAAAGGGCGCAACGGCGGGCTGTCAAGCTCCCGCCTATTCCTCTCTTTGGATTGGTGAATACATCTCTTTATTTTAATACTTTTTTAAATATTAGATTAGGGGTGTTGAAGTCAACCGCTTGTATTCAATGGAGAGTGAGATGCTATGCATAGAATATGCATAGACCATCTAAAATTTTAACAGGGACAACTCAGATATAAAGTGTTTTTTTCTAAAGGTTGTCGGGATGTCACGTGCATCACAATTATATCAGTACACTCATAACAACCTAAGCACTACGAAACTTCTATTAGATCAAATAAGCCTCACATATCAAAATAGCAATTCATTTTTATCTTGACTAAATTTGACACTCACTCACAATAATAAAGAACAATCAGTGATCACATAACCAGTTTAAGCTTTGATTCTGTGGTGAGCCTTCCTTGTAAAGTAAGGAGGGAGGAAGGATGCATTTCTGAAGTGTTCAATTGTAGCCTTAATCACACAAACACACTGAAGAGTGGGAACTCTGACTGGTCAGGCTGAAGGAGGTCAACCAGGAAGCAAACGGTTCCAGACAGGCCCTTGAACAGACTGTAAACACTGGTGACTGAGCAGGAGCCCGCCTTGAACTACTCCGTGAACAGGAACTCTACAAACCTGTTGGGAGAAAAGAGGAGACCTGTGTCAGGGCAGAGAGGCAGAGGAAGAGGCGAAGTGAGTGGGTCCACTACCATCAAAATCTGTCCACGCAGCGTTATTCAATGTGTTTCTATGGGCTCATTGGGCTTACTAAGCAGACCCACCTTTGGGACAACGACTCCCATTGTTAGGGCGGAGACAAGACCATCTCGTCATTATATACAGTATCTTTGGTGAGGGTGAGGCAGGACAGAGGTTTGCATCTCAATGATTTGTCCAACTGAGCCTCCATGCCTCTGAGCACGGTAGATGTATTTGGAGTTCCCTGTGAGGCGGTACAGTAACATGAAGAAGTAGGCGCTGCCTGCCACCCCATGGCAGATCCCTGGACCTTTCTTCAGCAGGCCCTTCTGCCACACCAGCTCCCCACTGCGGATGCATGTGTCCAGGTACTGGGGCTTCCTATTGATCAGGTAGGCTTTGGCAAAGAGGTAGGCTACACCTGGGAAGAGGCATGAGCATCAATTACATTGGAGACCTGGGAAACGACTTACCTTTTATTTTATCTATATTATCTAAATCAGTACATCAATCAATTAAGAGCCGGATTGAAAGTGTACCTGGGGCTCCATGGCACCAGTGCACCAGCTCATTCTCTCTCTCTGTCATGGCTCCCAGCTTGGCCGAACAGTTACAGTTCTGCTCCTGGTTCATGAGGAAGTCCACACTCTGCCAGACCAGATCCCTGTCCGCTCCACTCAGCACCTCCTGGTAACACAGCAGCATCTGCAGCACCGACGACAGGCCATGGGCCGCACCTGGGGAGAGAAACACAGGTGCACACACACACACACACACCACACACACACACACGCAAGCAGCACATACAAACAAACGGCACGATTCAATAGCCAGCATTCATTCAAAAAGACAGCCTCTCTGATTCCATCAGAGAATGCTCTCTGTGACTCTTGTGGTCAAATGCTGGACACATGGAACACCTGTGTTCTATTGAGGCGGTGGATTCAGGTCTGGGTACTGTGTTCTGTTGAGGCAGTGGGTCTGGGTACTGTGTTCTGTTGAGGCAGTAGGTCTGGGTCTGGGTCTGGGTACTGTGGTCTGTTGAGGTGGTGGGTATGGGTACTGTGTTCTATTGAGGCGGTGGGTTCAGGTATGGGTACTGTGTTCTGTTGAGGCGGTAGGTCTGGGTACTGTGTTCTGTTGAGGCGGTAGGTCTGGGTACTGTGTTCTGTTGACGCGGTAGGTCTGGGTACTATGTTCTGTTGAGGCAGTAGGTCTGGGTACTGTGTTCTGTTGAGGTGGTGGGTAACCAGACCCACTGCCTCAGCAGAACACAGTACCCATACCTGAACCCACCGCCTCAATAGAACACAGTACCCAGACCCACTGCCTCAACAGAACACAGCACCCAGGTCTGGGTACTGTGTTCTTCTAAACCATGGAGAACCAGACAAATCTTAAAGCTAACTGTTGGAGAGGCATGCAAAGTCCACCTAATTGTGTGCAGTGTGTGTGTTCTTAGGGAATGTTTATTTTGCTTTCACTTCCTCAAAGTTTCACTTCATTTTGCATCCATGCATATAGCCATGTAGCCTATGCTACTTACTATGGGTTTTGTGAGTGCTACTGATGGTCTTCAACTCTGATGGCCTCCTTCGTCTGGTAATATCAAGGATGAGCAAAGTTAGTTTCAAACATAGTCACCAGTGGTTTCTTTTTGTGTCTCCTTGTTTCCTTATCACCTTTCTGACCCAAGATCACAGAGAGAGGACAGGATAAGTGAAAGATATGTGTGAAGACCTGGGCTGGGTATTGTGGCTGCTACCAGGCTTTCACCTATCTAGTCCTTTCAGATAAGAGCTAAGGCATCACACAAATGACAAAGAGGTCATTTAAGGCCCTCGGGACAATATAAACTCATTAGCATCCCCCCTCCTGCCAATCAACCAAGTAGGCTAGACATGTAGGCCTACTTACCCAGATACTCTTCCTCTTGGCATACTGTTTACCAGACTCTATGATAGCCTGGCAAATGGCCTGGATCTGATCCTTGCTATGAATCTGTCAAATTAGATTTGAAAAGTGTTATTTCATTTAAGTAACGTTTGAGACCAGGTAATATGGAGCCAAGAGAGCCAGTACATTATTTTTCAGGTCATATTTCTCCTGGTCAGTAGGGCTAATCATTTTTTATTTTAGTCATTGGTCTTTTCCCTTTTCCCTTTTCCCTCAGGCTCTCACCTCTATCCCCAGTTTCTGTACCACCGATTCGACGCCTTGACCTACAAGAAACACACCTTTGTATTCGGCAAAACGGTGTGCAAAGCAACGGGGGTTTTCCATCACCGATGGAAAGAAGCAATGCAATGGCCTATATCCTACCACTGACTGTTAAACGGCCTTGGATAAAATGTCTAGTAGCCTAATATTGGTGATGATCTGGCGTCTTCATGGAACCAGGAAATGTCTTATTCTACCAACCATAACCTACCTAAGATTTATGGGACTTGTATTCTCAACACCGCATTCTCTATCCCCCTCAATCAATTCCGATTTGTTATTTATATTCCAATTGAAGACAATTATTTTTGTTAATCAATCGATTAAAGCAAAATATGCCAACCACTTTTGATCCGAAAAATCACAGACCAGCTAGGCAATCAGTCAAAGTCTTATCTGACAGCCATACATGCCGTCCAAGTACAGACATGTTACCAGTAGATGGTGGTATATGCACAAGTATACGCAGGGCGTGTTTATCATGCAGTGAACCTCAAATGACTCTGGAGTTGGTCCTATACATAGGCCTAGTAGGTATAGCCTACTGTATGCACATTTTAAAGTATACTTTTTAAAATCTAGTTTGAAACCAAACAAAGTTGGACATAGTTAGTAGGCCTATAGGCCTAATGGGCCTATGGGAACGTTCTATTCCCCTTTGATCACTGAATGCAATGCGAGTAGACAGGACTCAGCTAGATGTGATGCGCGATGTCCATAAACAGACGGTAGTTACGTTTTTTTTGTGTTACAGATCAAAGCAAGGGTGCCTTAACTGGCCGGGGCCCCCTGTTGAGAAATCGTCTTCAAACAGGAGAGGATGAGGGTGGAATGCACAGATGTACTCGCGGTTCCCTCTACTGCTAGACCGTCGGACCAGTCGCTGTTCGTGGTGCTGAAACTCATTGCGGCACCATGAGCGGCACCATGAGCCGCACAAAGACAACATTATATCAATAATAGTAATATAGTTCAGAGAGTTCACGAAGTTCAGGAAAGTGCTTTTAATGGATTATTTTTTGATTATATTTCTTAGATTACTTTTATTCCTATTTGTCTCCTGCTGCGGTTCTAACACTATGGGAGGTGGTCATTGTATAAGGAGTCTTGAATGACTCGTTCAAACGATGGCTTTTAGAAATAACTTACAAAAAAAAATAGTTTTTAATTCTGATTTCTCTCTGGGATATCCACAGTCTATTCCAAACAAATGAACTGAACAATAGAGATGAGATGAGTTCATTTTAGACACGAATAATCAGTTCTCTATGCGATAGAAGGGAGCGTTGTTTGCCTTGGAAATCCATATCTGAACTTTGATGTAAATTCTGTCCCCTTTCATTGGTGAAGACAGGGAGAGATCCTGAATGTCATTTGTGATTGAGTTAGAAACATTAAATGTCATCAATGCTCTGAAACCAGTGCCCTCTCCTTATCTTAAATTAATAATAATAACTTCCAGCCCTTGCAATGCTTGAACAAGACCTCAGTGGTAATCAGATATCCTAGAGCACTCAGACAATGGATTTTACTCATGTAATATCAAACTACTAAATGTTAGACCCCATGTGGTTGATTATTCAAATTCTAATATCTAGGTGTTATTTCAGCTGGCTAACACAATTTTGTGGCTTGCAGGAGAGCCAATGTAGAACCATGGTCAGGCGCAGCTGCCTAGTGCAATGTCTACTCCTATAATATGTTTCTACCCTTCTGGGCATAGGAGGATGTTCTGGGACACTGGATCCTACATGTTTTGAGATTGTGACCTAACGTTTTTAGAATATTCTTCTGATCCATCAGTTAAGGTCTGCAATATGCACTTTGCAGCATGTTAGACTATTTCACACCAAACTATACTACAAAATAGACTGGTACACATGACTGTACCGGATGTTCCAACACAGCCTAGTTGTGAAAATTGCACCTATTTTAGTGAGATACTAGTGTGCTCTCTCTGAAGAGGTGCAGGGAATGAGACATCATCTGCTGCTTTTAGTCCGGGGTACCGAGCACAGTTCTGAGGACCTTTGGAGAGCTCTTCATCAAGTATGAGGGGCTATTGTTCATCCTTCAATCAGTGGATAACATTCTCAGTGGGGAAACCATTAGTGTGCTGTAATGGAGTGGATGAATGTCATTCGGTTCATGTGTTTTAATTTGAGTTTCTAAGGAGTCGTGACTGAGAGAAATGAAGTGGCTAAACTGGTCACCCCCTACTGTTCAATGGACCTCTTCGCCCCTACCCTACAATCACCAGCAACAAAACAGGACTCACTGTCACACTACTACCCTTTGAATTTTGCTTACATGAAACACAATTACAGTATGTAAAAATGGTTATCATCTGCAGTGTGACATTTACCAGCGTCTGGGAAGACTCACTTCATCAGTCTCTATGATAAGCTGCATAAGGCTGACTACCCATCCACATCGCTCCGGCCAAACTGAGCTTTCTTCTCCACCATGAGTCTCGATTTGCCTCCCTCTCCTATGATTTCTAGAATAGGAACACATTCTGACCGTTCTGATTGGTCCCAGAAACCGATGGGTTGGGCCAGAGCCAGCCTACATGATGACGTTATCAACTTTGATACTCTGATTGGTCACATTTGTTAGAGATGATCCAATCGCTGATTAATTTGTTTTGTACAACTCCCCCCATTTTGAAGTCACACAAACAACTTCTAGGATGGCAAATTCAGACTGAATGTATGTAGCGATCGATAGAGCAGCGGAATTAAATTTAGGGTGAGTCGTCAGGCAAGTATAAGCCACAGGAGCTGCCTGTGGACTACAATGCATGTGAAGAGCCAGATGGTAGCATTTATACCATCCTCAAATAGGGGGACAGGAGATACATATCGGGAGTCTATCCATTTAATCCAGTTCTGTAATAATCATACTACTGCTGCTACTACTGATGAGGTGGAAATATAAAACTATGTACATATATTCAATTTTACATGTACATATACAAACATATATATAAACTAGCAACTTAATTTCCTGTTGTACCCTTGGAATGTTAACATCAACTGCTGATGTCAACTTTATCCTTGAATCCTGTGAATTCTGCCCAAATATTCATGCAAAGTTGCAGGTGGACTCTTGAGGGTGTTGGATAATTCATGATGTAATTCATTATTACGGACCCGCCCGTCTGTGGCTATGAGTTGATTGTGGTGCTCAATAAATATCAAACAACCAGACAGAAGCAATAGAGATATTCCAATCCTGGGGAGGACCACTGGGGACTACCAAGGTTGGCATGCAGTATCTCTGTCAAAAGCTGAGGTTAATGTGGTGCGGGAGTCAGGCGCAGGACACCGAAGCTTAGTCCAACAAAGTTTACTAGTGCAAACCCAAGCACAATACAATGAACGGCCTCAACAATAAACAGAGGCGAGCGATTACGCAGACTGTGCGTAAACTATAAAACAATAAACAGAGAAAACACGCAGCACTAACAGACAGGCGAATAACAACACACAAACTAACCAACACCAAACAGGCAACTTATAGGACACATAATTAGACACAAACGGACACAGGTGCAACAGACAGACAAAAGCAATCAAACATCGAAACATTCAACGGTGGCAGCTAGTACTCCGGGGACGACGAACGCCGAAGCCTGCCCGAACAAGGAGGAGGAGCAGCCTCGGCAGAATCCGTGACAGTACCCCCCCCCCTTGACGCGCGGCACCAGCCGTGCGCCGACCCCGGCCTCGGGGACAGCCAGGAGGACGCGGACCCGGGCGCGTGGGATGACCACGGCGGAACTCAGTCAGGAGGGATGGATCTAGGATGTCCCTCCTAGGCACCCAGCACCGTTCCTCCGGACCGTACCCCTCCCATTCCACGAGATACTGGAGACCACTCATCCGGCGTCTCGAGTCCAAGATGGTCCGGACCCTGTACGCCGGAGCCCCCTCGATGTCCAATGGGGGCGGTGGGGTCTCTCCTATCTCATCTTCCTGGAGTGGACCAGCTACCACCGGCCTGAGAAGAGACACATGGAACGAGGGGTTAATATTCTTATAATCAATAGGCAGTTGTAACCTGTAACACACCTCGTTCAATCTTCTCAGGACTTTAAAGGGCCCCACAAACCGCCGACCCAGCTTCCGGCAGGGCAGGCGGAGGGGCAGGTTTCGAGTCGAGAGCCAGACTCGATCTCCCAGTGCGTATACCGGTCCCTCACTGCGGTGGCGATCGGCGCTCGCCTTCTGTCGACGGATGGCCCGCTGCAGATGGACATGTGCAGCGTCCCACGTCTCCTCCGAGCGCCGAATCCACTCATCCACCGCAGGAGCCTCGATCTGGCTCCCGTGCCATAGTGCCAGAACCGGCTGATACCCTAAAACACACTGGAAAGGTGTTAGATTGGTGGAGGAGTGGCGGAGAGAGTTCTGTGCCATCTCTGCCCATGGGATATACCTTGACCACTCCTCCGGCCGGCCCTGGCAATAGGAGCTCAGAAACCTACCCACATCCTGGTTGACTCGTTCTACCTGCCCATTGCTCTCTGGGTGGTAACCCGAGGTAAGGCTCACCGAGACCCCCAAGCGTTCCATGAACGCCCCCCAGACTCTGGAGGTGAACTGGGGACCTCGGTCAGACACTATATCCTCGGGCACCCCATAGTGCCGGAAAACGTGGGTAAATAGGGCCTCAGCGGTCTGTAGGGCAGTAGGGAGACCCGGCATTGGGAGGAGACGACAGGCCTTGGAAAACCGATCCACAACGACCAAAATAGTGGTATTCCCCTGGGAGGGGGGAAGGTCTGTCACAAAATCCACCGAGAGGTGGGACCATGGTCGTTGTGGAACGGGCAGGGGATGTAACTTTCCCCTGGGCAAATGTCTAGGCGCCTTACACTGGGCGCACACCGAGCAGGAGGAGACATAAACCCTCACATCCCTAGCTAACGTTGGCCACCAGTATTTCACGCTAAGGCAGTGCACTGTCCGGCCAATACCTGGATGTCCAGAGGAGGGTGATGTATGAGCCCAATAAATAAGGCGGTCACGAACCTCGAGTGGAACATACGTCCGCCC